CACGCAAAAAAATAACTTGCTTCAAGTACGACATTTTTTTAATCAGGTTATTACTTTACCTACTTCAGAAAATTATCAACGCATTTTTTAATTATTAACCAGTAAATTTCTACAATACTCATATCAAATCCTGATTATGAAATCAAATACATTTTTTTATTTATAAATATTTTTGTTTACAAATATTAGAGATTACATGTAGCTATAATTATACACTGTTGAATATTTTCCTTATAGATAATAATTTTTCTGTGATTATGTCAGGATCATTTTATTTAATAAACAATTTTCCAATTCTAAAAAACTAGTTATTGTTTAAAATCTTTAATATTTTATGACTAAATTATCAGCAAAAGACAATTTTAAGTTATCTAGTAAATAAAAATCTTCAATTTCATACGCTCGTTGGATAAATATCTACACCCAATAGTTATTAATTATATTGGATTTTGTTCTAATAAAAATTGTATTTATTTATGCATTACAATAATAATTAAACACGAAGACGGTCTTCTGATGCAAAGAATAAAAACTTACAACTAACCGAAAAAAAAATGACAAGTGTCATCAGTAATACGGCTGTTGTTTGCTGACGCACCATCTGGTGTTTAAATTTCAATTTATCCCAAGAAAATACGTTCGTTGGTTTGAAAATTAGATTATATTAAATAAAAAACATAATTTTGAACCGAGCATAAACAGATTTTGAATCAAGAATTTAAAAGAAAAATTATTTAAGCAATAGAATTGAATTTTTCCCTGAAAATATTTTTATTGAATAAAGTTAATTTCTTGTTCTATGTAATCTGATAGAAAATGATGATCAAATGAAAGAGTAAATGTTACCCTCAAACTCTAATATGTCAAAGAATAATTATGGTAAAGTTTGCTTTGTTTATTTCTTTCTCTATCTCTTTTTTCCGAAATATTCTTCGTTTTGATGGGACGTTAAATTTGCATAAAACAGAGCAAAGGACGGATGACGGGCAGTGAATAGCGGATGATTATTAAAATTTCAATAAACCTTTATCTTTTTTTTTTATTTTTTACATCAGCAAGCCAAATTGTGAATGAAAATACTGTCAATTTTAAGGCACGATAAACCACGAACGGCAGTTAAAGTGGCTGGAGCTCGTTAAAATTTTTGATAATTAAAATGATAATAAATCATAAATTATAAATTCAAATTAAATGTCTGTAGTTTTAAAATAAAATAATAGCTGATAAATAATTTAATGATTTTTTTTTATGAAGCTTCTATTTGAATAATCATAAATATCCAGAGTATTTATAGGAATATTAATAACGTACGGAAATATTTTATGTGTAAAATTTAATTACAAAAGTTTAATTCCCTAGGGGCTTAAATTTTCATTATTGCAATTTAATTTATAATACATTATAAATGAGATGTTTTGTTAAATATATTACCAACTGAAAATTTTCTCATGGGTTGATAATTTAAATAACGAAAATACTGGACGAATAATTAATAATTTTTAATTAAATTTTTAAATTGCTTATTTATTTATTCATTTATTATCGAGGGCAGTAAAAGTTACATTTGCAGTGGCTAAGGCTTGAGGGAAGTCGCCTTAGGCTTTGTCAGCATCACAAGAATGTGTAATATCGTTTCATTTTCAATGGATATTGTATTTCGTACATTATGTACAAGAGCGATTGTAGGCTAGATGTTTCCCTTGTTTTTCCTCCGGCCAGGTTTTATCGGATTACCCAAGTACAAGGTGAGGAAACTTTTCGCTGCTCTAAAAAGATGAAAGAAAATAAGAACTCCTTATTTTTTTTACAAAAACAAAAAAAAATCAAGAAAATCCATAAAAGTTTTTAATGTTTAATTTTCAATTGAAAATTTTGGGTTAAGTATTGAAAATACGAAAAAATTGAATCATTAAATTTTTATAGAAAATATAATTTTTTACAAAAAAAAATTCCTATCAATTTTGCTCTGTCTTTCTTGCTTTTTCCAGACTTTAAATTTAAATTTCAGAAATCAAGTTTTAGAACTTGTTCGTAGATTTTAAATGTTTATGGTGGGGATTCTAGCTAAAATATTAGAAATAAAAAAAAATTATGTCATTTTGTTCAGACAATTTTATTTCCATAAAAAAAAATCGATTTCACTTTTAACGTAGCTCAAACCTTTTAGTCAGATTTTTTAAAAGAAAGATTTGAATAATGAAGATAATTATTTGAAAATACATTTCATTATGAAAATCTTCAAGTCTTGTGAATAAATAATTGTAGGAAGTGCGAATCAGGTGAAAAAACTAAAGTAATTAGTTTCGACTATTTATTTTCATATATACGACATTTTGTCGGTTTTATTCCGACATCCTCAGGTATCTTGAAAAAGCCCATCAAAACATTGTCAACACTTTGAACATTACATAGCAAATTCATATACAGATTTTTAAAAATTTATTCGTCCAAATTTAGTCAAAAATATCCATTAATTGCAGGTCAATAAATGTCTATTGTTACTGAACTCTATTAATTTTATATAAATTATTGAAAATTATTAATAAATACAAAATAACGATCTCCTTTCACGCATTTTACTCTCAATTATGAATTTCGATCGAAGTGTTACAAGTTTTTTGTAAATAAAGATGATAAATAACTGTCATTACTAAAAAGTTCAAATTAATAAATATTCAAATTCATATTTTTTTCTTTTCTTTTGTTTTATGAACTAGATGGTACTGTCTTATTATTATCTATTACTGTTTAACTACTTTTATTATTACTATGTATGCATTTATATGTAAGGCCCTTAGGGAGCTAAGGCCTCAGGGTCTAAAATTTTGATAAATAATTAAATTAATAAAATTATTATTTTATTATAAAATTTAAAGTTTAAAAATTATAAATTTCTAAAAAAACTAAACAAATCATCTGATTGGCCCAAGAACCTTGTAAGGAATCTTAAAATAATTAAATTGGTACATAATAATCACGACGGTCTAATTAGCAATTGGCCTAACTCCATATTTTTTAGAGGGTGATTTTTTTAACATTTTGTTGTAGCCATAATCGAATTATAAATTATTTGAATGATTCAAACCTAAATATTATATCTCTAATAGATAATAATGATATTAAATGGGTTTTTAAAGTGATAATGAATTTTGAATCAATTGTTTTTTTCGTACAAATAGAAGATTCTCTAAAATGGAGTTAGACAATTTACTAATTAGAACGTCGATCAGTATAAATAAATTTATCAAGAATTATAATTTTTTATTAAATTTAAATTAAATTTTTATATTAAAAAAATATCACAATAAAACAACGATGATAAAGTGTCGAAAAAATAGCAATTTGGTTTGACATTATTTTTATAATAATAATAATAAAAAAAAAAAAAAAAATGAAACCACAAAAATGTTGGATAAAAATACGAGAGAAAAGTAGTTGGCTGTCATCCCTCGTAAACATTTACCTCGGATGCCTTTAAACAGTTTTCTTGTGCCCCAAGGATTGCTGTCTCGTCCGTTGTCTATCATATTTTTGGATGTGGTCCAAATTTTGTGGTCCGAGCAGTATCCACCACCATTTTATCATTTTATTCTTTCCATTTTACGTCCCGTTTTACTCAGAGTATCCACCAGCGAAGTATGGCAGTAACAGGAGCAATACCACTACCACTGGAAGCAAAAAATTGCATATCTTCCACACCCGTGGATACCAGAGTGAACTGGCGCCGACACTTTTCCCTTTTCCACCCCCATTTTCATCCTTTCACCCTTTTCCTCATTTATACCAGCCCCTCCCCCTCTACCCTTTTCCTCATTTCATCATCTTTCGCTTCTCTTTCTCTATCTCTCTTCTACCTTTTTTAAAAACCACTAATATTACAGCCAACCTTCCACCCAAATCATCAACCGATTTTTCATACTCTCTCTCCTTCCGAGAGCTCGCCACTAAGGTATTAAATTTAACATGGAATATTCTTCATTTATGAAAAATTTACCACAATTCTTTCTTTCTCTCTGGTCATTTTCTTTATCCTCTTTTGTTTAATATCTGGAAAAACAAAAAAATTTTAATTACCTGCAATTTCATGCATTAACATTTAATTGTTTTATTTTATTTTTTAAAAATGGGGCATTCCATGCCAAATCGACCACTTTTGACACCGACCCTTTTCGATTTTTCTGAAATTTTGGTATCTTTCTCTACCCTATTGAAAACAATTTTCAGAATTTTTTCAAATTTTTTTACACAACCAAAAAAAAGTTACGAGTCATTACAAAAAAACAGCTTTTTTTTTGTTAAATAACCATAACTTTTTTGAAAATTGACTTTTTGGGATGTTTTTTTTTTTGAAATTTTTGTCTTTAAATGTACTTTAAAAAAAAAATAAAAATAATAATTCGGGTTCATATTCAATGTTTTTTTTAACTTTTTGGAAAAAAACGAAAATTTCGGGATGATTGACATTTTTGATTTTCAATTTTTCTTTTTTTTATTTAAATAAATTAGGATCATCTGAAAATAAATGTAAATCGACAATAGAAGACATCAAAGCAAAGCGAAGTAACATTTCACAAGCGATAAACTCCCTCCATACATAAATTGGTATAAACGCGTGTTAAACGGAGCATCGTGGATCCTCTTGCATAATCTTTCGTATGTGTACCGCGTGTAATAATTCTTCAAGTAATATATACAGTACTCGAGTCAGTAAGAGTAAAAAGGAGTAGGACGCGGCGTAATAAAAAAAAAATTAAAGTGAACTGAGGAAATGAAATTGGTTGAGAAAAGACTTCCCATATATGTCCAGAAGGGATGACTTCGAAAATAAGAGAGGATAATGTAGTGTGTATTATAAAAAATATAAAATATAAAATAAGAATAAGGGAAAGTGGGAAACTGTGACGAAAGGGGAGAATGCCTTTGTCATGATAATATTAAATGTACCTTTTCTTACGGTTTTTGTTAAAGTTTGCAATCAATTCAGCCGAGGCGTATATTCAATGCTTGGTGCCGTCAGTCCGGATTCATTTGACACCCTTCATTCCTACAGCAACACTTTTCAAATGCCTTTTGTCACGCCGTGGTTTCCCGAAAAGGTAATGTATATCATTTTATTATTATTTTTATTATTATTATCATACTGTAAAAAATTGGGAGTAAGTATGGATTTTCATTAAAAAAATATTTAAGTTTTTATTGCCAAAATACTAACAAAAATTTCGAACAATTTATCTGGCTTAAGTTTGTAAATATTTATTATATTTATATTTTTAATTATATTTTTTTTTTTAAATTGACTTTTTTGGAACATTAAACCAAAATATTAACATTACTTTCTTTAATTAAATAAAAATAACTAGCAATCTTGTTTTATCAAATAATTACTTTTGTTAAATTAGACCGTATTTTCCTAAATATTGACGTTTTTAAAGATATAAGCTCATCCCGATGTTACACTCATCAAAAGCTTTCATTTAAGTACCCACATGCATATTGATATATTTTTCATATATACATATATGTAATATATATAAATACATGAAAAACTGATGTGGGTACTTAAATGAAAGGTCTCGATGAGTATAACATCGGAATGAGCTTATATCTTCAAAAATGTTATTAGTTAACAAGATAGCAATGTCAGTTCTTAATTATTGACATTTTTAAAGATATAAGCTCACTCGGACACTACACTCATCGAGACCTTTCATTTGAGTACCCACATGCATTTTGATATATTTTTCATATATACAAATATATAATATATATAAATATATGAAAAACTGATGTGGATACTCAAATGAAAGATCTTGATGAGTGTAATATCAGGATGAGCTTATATCTTAAAAAATGTCAATAGTTCACACGATACAAGGTCATTTCTTAATTATGTATCTAGAGATAGAGAATTTTCGAATGCAGCCTAAATACTTATCATCATAAATTGACTATTGGTGAGAATAATATAAAACTTTGAAAAGGCACAAATTCAAATCAAGACCTTTGTAATGACACTAAATTTCACTAAGAAAACCGATTTTATCATATGAATATTCTGAAGACAAAATTTTTCTTGTTCTTTTAATAATATAGATTACTTATATTAATTTTTTAACTACAATTTTTAGACTTTCTTAACAAAAAAATTTATCAATAAAAGTGAGAAAAAAATATTGATGCAATTTTTTTTAAATCTCAAAATTTATTTAATAATTTGTAAAACTTCTAAATTCGCATTAATAAAATAAATAAAATCCTTTTAGGGGAGAATTTCACTCTAGAGCAATTGAATCAATCAAAAATCAATCCATTCCGCCAATTTTTTATACTGTACTATTACAATTATTATTATTTGTAAAAACAAATAAATTTAAACCACTTAACCATTTTTATCGTGTAAAAAATAAGGATATGGATATGGATATGGTTATTGTGAGGAAATATTATCACGGCTAGAGATAAATTTAGCAAGCATAGAGCGGAGAGGTCGCGTCAAGAGTGTTAGCCCATGGGGCTACAAGAACGGGCGCACTGGTGTAAAGGGGGGCACCGGGCATTTCATTCGAAAATGTAAATTGGAAAACGCGTCATGACTCCATATACACCGAGCTCGATCGATCGAGCAATGTACCGGACAATGCACTCACTGGGACATATACTGAATAAATTAAATTATATTCCGTTTATATTCTTTATCGTGATTTAACTTCAAATAAAATAAAAAAAAAATTAAACTAATGAAATAGCAACGGTGTGACCGGACGACAAAAACTACCACCATTAAAACTCGCTAAGCTCTTTCAAATACTTTATTTTTATTTATATTTTTTACAAGGCCTCAACAATTATTTCGTAAAGTCTCGTATATTTAATTCCCGGCGTAATTATCAATTATTAATGGACTTGCTTACACACGATAAAAAATAATGAGGCTTACACGTCTGATAATTTAATCTTACGTTACTTTTTTCCTTCGAACAATTACATTGCTATATATATATATATATATATATATATATATAACATTTGTGACGTAGTCGGCAATAAATAATAAAAATTTACAGTTATCTTGACAGAATATAAATATTCCATAAAAAAAATGAAAAAACTGTAAATAATAATTATTTCTGACCTTCAGTATCACGCAACTTTATTAACTTTTAGCGCTAATAATAATAATAATAATAATAATAATAATAATAATAATAATAAAAATGCATCAAACTGGAAATATTTAAAGAATGAGGTTAAAATTTAATAAAAAAAAAATATGCAATCTCGGCGGCAAATGAAGAGCGAGCTCAAGAAAAAATTCGCGTTAAATAAAAAAGATGAAATGGAATTTGTGATTGCAGGTCCTGACACCGTCTTCGGGTTTCCTTGACTTTGCCATAAGCATGCGCCCGGATTACCATCGCGCCATCATCGACACGGTGCGACACTACGGATGGAGAAAAATCATCTACCTCTACGACTCCCACGATGGTGAGTCCCAATCCTCCTATGCATTTCTCATTTTACAGGTTACATTATATACCTACTTCTTTTTCTTTATCGTGGTCTTTCTTAGTTTTGGTCTACTGGATACTTTTTTATGTCTTTTTCTATCAACTTCAACATCTTACAGGTCATATTTTTCGATACAAAACTATGAAGTCAATTTATTTTTTATGTTGTGATAGAAAAATTTTTTAGAGTAATAAATAGATTTTGAAAATTATTTTTTTTTTGAAAATTTTAGTGAAAAATTTTTATTCATTTATTTATTGATAAATTTTATTAATAAAATTTTTTTTTAATAAATAAATTTATTTAAAATTTAATAAATTTTTTTTTAATATTTTATAAATAAATTTTATCAAAAAATTAAAAAAAATAATATTTCAATAATATTTTTTAAATTATTAAAAATTTATATTCATAAGAAGTAAATTCTCAACTACTAAAAAATCATACAGAAATAAATTCAAGAAATCTATCTAAAATAATAATAAATTTACAAAAATATTATGTGAAACACTATTTTGTTAAAAAGTTGATAAGACTCAGAAGTTAATATAACGCCGGAGCAATGAAAAGCATTTAATTACAAATGCAAATGCAAATATACTTCAGGGATTTTCATTTTCCCTATACACTGTACACTATAACGTGAAATAGCTCTCGTCCTCCTATCTCTGCACTTTGGGACTAAACTGTAAACTCCACGCGACAATCTCGCATCCTCTCTCTCTTGAACTCGACGCTCACTTTTCCCGCTCTTTGCCGATAAATGTTGACTAGAGTTCAACCAAAGGGAATAACAACTAAGAGCCGGAATTTGCATAATCTATTCTAAATACTTTGACCATAAAAATGACTAATTATCTTTTTCCACATTTGTTAATTTACCAGTGTAACTATTAAAGTTGACCTCTTCACGTAACTTTGCGCCAATTTCATAACATATATGTAATTATGGATTTATCTAATTATCAATTGTTGCTCGCTGGTTTTCAGAGACCTTGATGAAGCTTAGAATACTTCCTTTTTGAGTTATTACGATGACAAGTTTCAGTATGATCAAAAATGGTCGAATTGTTTTTAAAAAAATTCATATAAAAAATAAATTAATACCATAAAAAAATATTCAGCCAATTTTTTAATTTATTTATAAATTTAAATTATAATTAAAATACAATAAAAAAAATAAAAAAATATGCATGCACTAATAAAAAAAATTAAAAAATTTTTTCTTGAATCAAATTTTTTTTTTCATGAAAATTTAATAAAAATTTAATTTAATCTATTCAATATTTTAAATATTTTTTATAATTATTAAAAATTGAAATCACATACTAAAATTCAATAATAAATTTCATTTATAAGTTCGGAATATAAATTTTTATACGATGGTTTTATATTTTGAATATAATTGAATTTATTACAATTAAAGTTAAAATGTTTAAAAAAAATAAAATAAACGACCAAAATTTAACTATTCAAAATATATTTTTTATAATTTAATAAATGTTTAAATAATTAAATTAAATTTTCAATTTCCATCTATTAAAAATAAATATGTCTGGCAAAATATCTCTAATCTATTTATTATTCATGAATTAATAACTAAGATTATAGAAATAACTATAATAAGTAATAAGACTTATTACTCAATATAATTAAACTTTATAATATTGTTGAGTTATAAACGTATAAATCACAATTTATTTTTTTTTTTATTTTTCGAAATAGCGCTAGCAAATGATAAAATCGATTACACAATTTCCATTTGATTGGCAGGTTCTTTAAACCAGATCACTTTAAATCGATAGCGTGTCTCACGTAATTTGACATTAATTTTTATCTCGCGAAATGAAGTTACTGATAACGAAAAAAATTGATAATTAAAAATGATAAATGTTTCGTTTTTTTTGCATTCATTCGATCAACAAAAAATTCAATTTTTGTTCCCGCGAGTTATTTATTTTCAATGGCTCATATGAGTTGATTGGTTGATTTTAAATTTATGACGTCTCTACTTTATTGTGTTTAAATTTTTAAACGTATACATATATATGTACATGCGCCAGCGAGACGAGCACGAGCGATAAAGGTAATAACGAAAAATACAACACAATGTACAAAGCCTTACAAATGTTACGTTGTCATTGACATTTAATGAGTTTGTTCGAGAAATATTAAGTGGGAAAAAACATATTAAGTTTAAGTGGGGGGATGAATAAAATTTCCTTCACTTTTGTCTATGTCAGTTTCAGTGTTCTCGTGCATCCTAGTCGTGAATTGTACTTGACTCTAACGCTAGTGACATTCACTTAGCCTTCTAGTTAAAAAAAAAAAAAAAATAAATATGATTTAATAACAAAAATTCAATTCAGTTTATTAATTATAATTATGCAATAATCAATTATTAGATTGCGTTCCGAAAATTGATAGTGAAAATTCGTGATGATTTTTATTATGAAGGTAATTTATTGTTTAGATAAACGGAAAATTAACTCTTATGTAAGAAAATTTTCCACAATTGTTAATTTATGCTTTAATTACAATAAAAGAGGAAATAAACGATGAGCGATAAACAATAAGCAATAACAATAGTGGTTAAAATTCTTTATTTTCAAATAATTAGTATATGAGTAAGTAGTTAAGGCATCGAGTGATTGCTGGAAAAAAAAAACTCTAAATTAAAACCGGTTGGCATTAGCTGTCATTCAATTGAACAGTTTGTTTTTTTTCAACTTTTATTCTGCTAAAGTTTCTTAAATGGAATAGTCGTGTTTGTTTTCAACAAAGTTTGGTTTGTTCCTGACGTACGTTCCGAACTTTCAAACTATCACTCAACGTATGTGGTTCTGTTCGGAGAAAAGGAAAAAGAACAGAAAAAACTACCTGAAATTGAATTAAGTAAAAATAATTCTGAATTTTACACAGAAAATAAAAGTAACTTGATTCAAGAAAAATATTCTTGAACTAAGAAAGAAAGCTGATTTGCTTCAATAATTTTTCTTTTTAATTTTTAAATTCTTGATTCAAAATCTGTTTATGCTCGGTTCAAAAGTATGTTTTTTATTTAATATAATCTAATTTTCAAACCAACAAACGTATTTTCTTGGGATAAATTAAAATTTAAACACCAGATGACGCGTCAGCAAACAACAGCCGTATTACTGATGACACTTGTCATTTTTTTTCGGTTAGTTGTAAGTTTTTATTCTTTACATCAGAAGACCGTCTTCGCGTTTAATTATTATTGTAATGCATAAATAAATACAATTTTTATTAGAACAAAATCCAATATAATTAATAACTATTAGGTGTAGATATTTATCCAACGAACGTATGAAATTGAAGATTTTTATTTACTAGATAACTTAAAATTGTCTTTTGCTGATAATTTAGTCATAAAATACTAAATATTTTAAACAATAACTAGTTTTTTATAATTGGAAAATTGTTTATTAAATAAAATGATCCTGACATGATCACAGAAAAATTATTATCTATAAGGAAAATATTCAACAGTGCATAATTATAGCTACGTGTAATCTCTAATATTTGTAAACAAAAATATTTATAAATAAAAAAATGTATTTGATTTTATAATCAGGATTTGAAACAAGTATTGAAAAAACGTATTATTCTCAAAAAAAGTCGGCATTATCTTTATATTGTTTCTTTATCTTTTGAAGCAAGACTAAAATTTCAAGGAAAAATGTTCACTTGAACCGTTACTTTTATTTCTGTGTATTATTATCTACTTCGCGTATAAATAATAGACTGTTTGTTAATATGACTTTGATGTACAAACACTTTGACGTGCATTATTGACTTGCGATATAATTAATATGGAAATTATATACACAGTACTACACTAGACTAATAATAATGATAATAATAGTTATGACAATAATTGTATATGTAATTTGATAATGCGTAGAGAAGAAATTTAATTAACGCTTGCATTTCTTTTATCGTTCTAGCACAGAAAGATAATTACTGTTAACGGTGATTAAATCATAAATCCAGTGCAGTATTAATATCGCGAGTAATTATCGGTGTAAATGACCCGTGGTGTTATCTTGAAAGAAATAAAAAGATTAAAAGCGAGTATGGTCGAGTTATTTATATAATTTATATAATATATATTTATTAAGAGTATAATCGATAGTTATGGTTACTGAAGGTTAACGAGTGAAGGTGAACTGTTAAGAATTAATCGAATTAAATTCATGGTTATCTAAGAGATATTAAATATAAACTGATAGAAAAAAAAATTATTGTCCAAACAAAAAAAAATTTTTCGCTCAAAATATTCTTATTTTTCAAAATTTATTGGTTCAATCTTTGTTTTTAATTAAATTATAGCAATTGTGATTTTCATAAACATAAAACATCAATTTTTATCATAATTGAAGGAAATTAGTCTTGATATTATCAAGAATAAATAAATTAACAATTTTTTTACTTTTATCTTGATGAGATCTTATGATTAATGTTTTATAACAACTATTAGACGCTTATGATTTATTCTATTGCTCAATTATTATTTATTATGTCTCAAATTACTTTAGAGTCATAGACGGAAATTATTTTTTTCTTCAATTCGAATATTGATAGAATAATTATAAAATTTCACAACAATTCTATCAAGAAGATTTTTTTAATATAAAAATTCGTTAAATTGTTCAAAGTAATTTTTACTTAGTTGGAATAAAACTATTCGTTTGTTTAAATATTGTAAAGGTAAATATTTTATAATAACATCAGATGGTAAAATTTTTTATAGAAAACTTAATAAATTTAAGTGGTACATTTCAAAAGATTTTTTTGTTAGGACAATAATTTTTTTCTCTCCGTGCAAATCCTTTAGTAAAAAGTTGACGTGACGTTTTCATTGTTGTCGCTTTTCGTTGCCATGGAAACGGTTAAATATTAATGAGTAAAATTTGTAAAAATATTTATTAATTAAATTGTCGATAATAAACATTTTGACAGAAGCGCGCAAAGCGCGTTTGATTTTATAGTAGAAGAAAAAAAATCTATAAATAATATTGCAATTAAAAATATAAATTTGGAGCAGAACAATAATTATTATAATATCAATTTTTAATTTAAGAGATATAAATAAATAATCTCTAATAATTTATTTAACAAAAAAAAATATATTGAGCAATTAAACGCTTCAAAAAATTCTATTAAAAAAAATGATCAATAAATTAATAACTTAAAATATTAAATCTAAAAATAAAATCGGTATTTAACAATAATTTCATAGCCAACTAGTTTTTTCCGTGTACACGAAGATAAGTATAAGTATAAATTAATGAATAAGTTGGATTATAAGCAGTAGATAACGATACAGTACAATTAAGACCGTAGCTTAGCTTATAATTAGCGATCATCCTTGTTCCCTAGTTGGTAGCCGGGTCTCGGGGTCCCGGGAAAACTCTATCTATTCGCGAGATGCCAGCGACGAGGGTCAATTTCCAGTACCGCTCCGGGCTGTAGAAACACCGAGCCAAGTACAAGTATTCTGGGAGATCGAGACCGAGACCGAGACCGAGACAAAGATAGAAAATAAGTAAACCGGGAATGAGTGGGATAAAGAGAACTGTAGTGGTAGTAGTAGTAGAATATAGGAAATGGTGAGCTTGCGGCACGTACTACGTACCGATTTTACTTTTTACTTAATTAGTATTTCGAACGAGAAAGCACGATCACTGTACAGAAGTCGGCTGCCTAGCCGTGAATTGGCCTCTTCCTCTACAGATATAGTATATAGTATATAGAGTACTGTATCCACATCTCCGTTCTTTATCAGTCCTCAGCGGATCTAGTTCTCTCACTTATTCAGTCTAAGACTTCTCCATCGTCATTATCCTCATTCCCCTCCTTCACCGCTGAATTCCTCTCAGTACTCAGTACAGTACCATCACCTCAAAACATTGAATCGGGGGATTTTAGTCGAGGCTAACTTTGCACAGTGATAGTCTGATAGTAGTAGTAGTACCAGCAACTTACACATTTGAAAGAGGTATCGTTTGATTATCAACCCGCTCTAACAACTATTGCGATAACTTTTAAACACTTTGACATTGATCGATCCAACTATCTGTTGATACACTTTAGATTAAGACCGTAGATCGTGGTAAATAGAAACTACTTTTTAATTTTTTTGTTCTTGAATTGGGAAATCTGTGAAGAAATTTTCTGATATTGTCTGAAATAGTCATGTCAGGTCTGATATGGTCATACATAATCATATATAATTTTTTGATCACTAGTAGTGTTTGAATTCTCCGATAGGTGGCGCATGGCGGCTAAATTGTCTCCTTACTAGAGAGTCAAGTTTGAGATATTAAATTAAAAAGTAAAAATTAAAATATTTTTTGATTCTTATACTTAAAAATAGCTTGATATGACCACATATGATCAGATATATGTTCAAATATAACCTATATGTATAAAAGGGTGTGCCAAAATGTAACTTTCATGATGGACCTCTTAAAATTGGAATTTTGAGTTCTGTTTTTAACAGGAGTTGTGTTTGGGCATTTTCTGACATATTTTCACCGTTAAGGATTTATTTGATTTTTATTGAATTTTTTAACAGGAGTTTTCGTTGGAATTTCAAAATTTCAAAATTTGGCCGAACAAAACTCCTGTTAAAAAATTCTAAGAAAATCAAGGAAGTTACATTTTGGCACACCCTAATTGTATACAGTATAACTAGTTATATGACCATAAATAGTCATATTGTGATACATATGGTCATATATAGCCATACATATCAATTTCAGGCCACATATGGTCATATATAGAAATATCAGGCTAAATATGATCAAATATATGGCCAAATCTGACCACATAGTACCATATATGAACATTTTTTCGCTGAGTATGATAATTGATACAAAAATATTCTTAACATTTATAAAAATTAAAATTAATTTTTTATTTTTATACATGTAGTTTAATATGGCCATATATTGTCAGATTGATCCCATACATCGTCAGAACACTAAAATTTTCATAATTTTTCTAAATAAAAATACATATTGTCCGGACCTTGAATATTGAATGAAATTGTTCTCCAAGATAAAAATTTAAGCGAGTTTAAATTAGATATATCACAGGCCACCTCTTACAATAGTAATTCGCGAATTCACGTATGTGTATATAAATAGATATAGATAGACACAGATAGAAGTAAGCCGTTGATAGACGGAGAGCATTAAACCGTAACGTAGTTCTGTCGTTGGTCACGTCGTAAATTCAAGTTAAGTCACTCAACTCACTACTGCGTTGTCCCTGGTTGTCTCTGGTTGTCCCCCAACTACAACTCTGGGTCGTATGATACGCTAATACCACATACATTGTATTATCCTCGCCATAACTGTCGCCGTGGGAACTGAACTCGCAGTAGTAGTTCCATAGTCCACTGGCTACCTAGATATACACTCCAACTACTGCTACTGTTAGTGCTACTGCTCTACGACCTGTAGGCTCCACTATCTCTAATTTCTCCGTCTCTGTCTGTGCTCTCTGATTCCCGGCTTGGGGTCTCGCAGTTCGCAATGTAACAACCTCTAGGCCGGGCTATTCGCGTTACACAAGACCCTCGGTACATTCGAACATCCGAACATTCGTACTCTGGTCATGCGTGGAGGATAGAGTTGTGTTATGTACCATCTCAACCCCATTCTGACCGAGATATGCCTTCAGGAATCTTGTAACTATCCCTTCAATTCAGCGTCATTCATACGCGGTACCATATATCCGTATTATCACCCACCGAATACATTCTCCGTCAAATAGTTTTTTGATACGGTCAATTTTCATATATATAGCCATATATGATCTGGTCTAGTCATACATGGCCATTTTAAGCTGTTTTTTTTTTAATTTGGACTTTAGAAGAGTCGAGTAAAAATCATCTGATCTCATGATGAGGTTCATTATGAATATCATAATGAATCTCATATTTTGACACAAATATGAGATTCATATAAAAGCCATATTAATATACATTTGATACCCGTAATAAGTAAAATATTTATGGGAACAAATTTTTTTTTTAACTAGATTATAAAATGTTTATTTTTTCTGTTGGAGAAGGAAAATTTCTTTCAATTTAATAATTAAATCATTATGATATTAACATAAATTCATAATAAAGTGATGGTCATTTCTGCATAAAATCATAATGATATCATAGTGATATTGTTAGTCTTTATAAATCGTGATATAAAATTATTGAGTCATAAATATATACAGGAAATAATGCAAATTAATTAAATTAAAGAAATTTTTAGGAGGATTTAAATGGTTTTCAAAATAAAAAATAATTATCTTAAGATGAAAAAATTTTGTCAGTCAAAAATTTTTTTAAACCAAGATAGTGTTTTTCTAAATATTCTTCTAAGTTAAGAAAATCAAGAAAGAAAGTAAAGTAGTTCAACAGTATAGTGCATAATAAAAATACTGCTTTTCTCAATTATTATACTTTTCCTCTGATTAACAGAAAAAATAAAAATTTTACTAATCTGCGTAAAAAAAATTCGTTCATATAAGTATTTACTTATTACGGGTTTCAAAATTTGTGTCAAAATGAACCTCATCATGAAGTCAGATAATTTTTACAAATAATTTTTATTTTAAAACTTAACTTCTGAAACTTAACTCTCCTATAGGGAGAAGATTTAGCAATCATACGCCATCTATTGGAAATTTTTAATACTAACTTTTATTAAAAAATTCTATATGAACATATAAGACCATTCGGACCATTTATTAGGATATCAAAACATATATATGGACATATCAGGCCACAAATTTACTCAGAAAATTTTCCCTCGAATCTTTATAAAATTCTTTATATAATTTTTCAGCGATAATTTTAGTTACTTAATAATTGACAATGGACCAGGAAATATTCCATCAGATCATAATCGGCCTGGTTTGTAAGTGATAATTAAAAAAAAATAATCCTCCAAGAGAATAACTGACTAGAAAAGTTTACAAAAGTCTAAACCATTTGTCAGGTAATCTGCTAATTATTGATTGTGGACTGCACGAAGGATGGCCAACAGTAACGCTTCCAAAATTTGGAACCGAAGATCCAGTGACTTTGACATCTAATCAAGAAGTCCTTTTGATCAATTTGCTGTACCTGGGCGTCAGTTTGGGAGCACTATCTCCGATATTCCTGATGGATCGTTTCGGACGGAAATGGACCCTACTGTCAGCAGCGGTGCCCAAAATATTCAGCTGGATAGCAATTGGGTTAGCAAATACACACACGACCCTCTATTGCGCGCGTTTGCTTGCGGGAATTGGATGCGGGATAACTTACTCAGTGATGCCGATGTACATAGGGGAAATTAGCAGCAAAAGAACTCGCGGCCCTTTAGGAACATTGCAGTCTGTGTTGATAAACATCGGGATCCTCTTTATCTATACAATCGGACTTTATGTGACGAGATTCGCCATGGCGATGATGTCCCTGGTGCTCCCGGTCCTCTTTATCGTCACTTTCGTCTGGCTGCCGGAGAGCTCGGTCTATTTAACCCGGAAAAACAGGCTGACTTGCGCTGAAAAAACGCTGCAGTGGTCCCTGGGGAAGCAAAACGTCGAACAGGAGCTCGAAGAAGTGAAGCGAATTGTCAAAACTGAGGAAGACGTCAAAGCGATGGGATTTTTCAGCTCCCTTGTCAAGGCAATGAAGTCCCCGGCTAACAAAAGGGCTGCGCTGATTATGCTGATATTAGCGAGCGTACTGTCGCTAACTGGGGCAGGCGCGATAATGACTTATCAATCATACATATCCGAGGAGGCTGGCTTTCATTTGGGAACTAATTTGGGGATAATAACCACGGGGGTTGCCATTGTTTTGGCGGGAATAGCTTGTGTTTCACTTGTCAGAACCACCGGAAAGCGAAGATTACTTTTATTAACTGCCCCGCTCGCAGTACTTTGTCTCGGAACAATAGCCACCTTTTTCACACTTATTGACTTTGGATACGATGTCAAGGCTGTTAATTGGATACCCACGGTGTTTGTGGTCTTGTATGTTATTATTTATGGACTCGCGTTTAATCCAATGCCCCTGGCTTACTTGGGGGAATTGTTCACCTTTGATTTTAAAGTCACTGCCGGTATTTGCTCGTCCATTTATTACGCTATCACGACAACTGGAATTATTAAACTTTATCAGGTATTTTTATTTATTTTTATTTTTTTTATGTAAGTTTTTATAAAATATGTATTGGAATGTATTACGAAATAAATTAATAATAATTAAAATATGTAGATCAATAATATAATAATTATAGTTAAAATACTGTTTTTAATAATATATTTTTATTATAAAAATAAATATAAAAATTGGCCATAATTTAGCTACACGGAAAAAGGTAAATTTACTCGGATTCCGGTTAATTTTTATAGTTTCAAACAGCATAGCGGACATCGGGGTGGCAAAAATATAAATATTACAGAACTTAATGCAGAAAGTGTAAAAGCCACAATTTATAATTTAATATCCAAAATAAGTGATTAGTAGCTGTCACTATATTAAATAACGACTCTGTCATCTTAAAAAATTACAGTTTCAAACAGTAAAAATTGCCGTTTCAATATATAGTCCATTCTATGAGGAGAAGGGGGTCTCAATCTAGGAGAATTTAACATTTGAAACAGTAAAAATTCTACTCTTAAAATATATATTTTACCATTCCAAGCGTTAAAATTTATCATTTTACTTTATAAATATTGACGTTGCTTCTATTGGAAATTTAGTAACTGAATTTTATATTTTTTACATTTAACGCAATCATTCTTTAGGTACGAAATGATAAATATCAAAGTCAAAATTATTAATTATTATACTTTAACATTTTCGACAACCACATAGCGAATATTACTGTTTGAAATAGTATTTTCTTCCATGTAAAGTATAAATTGTAGCATTTAAATGATAAATATTATAAAGTGATTAGTAAAATTATGATTTTACTGTTTAAAATGGTAATTTTTAGCAGTTGATCATTTTTTATTATAAATCGACTATTATTTATTACAGTTTACTTTTTTCCGTGTATTAAAAATAAATCTTTCAAACAATTTTTACATATTTACATTTCAATATATATTTTTAATATAAATTATTTTCACAAAAATTATTCATTAATTTACCTTTAAATTAGATTTTACACGACGATTACGGAACACACGTCGCATTCTGGGCGCTCACAGTCATAACTTTCATACTGTGGATCCTGATGTACATATTCGTGCTGGAGACTGAAGGAATGACTCTAGAGGAGATCCAACTCGCGCTGACCGGGGATTTCGTAAAACAAAATTTGTCCAGAAGACAAGAAAGTTTTGAGTCTGTTAACAAAATAAATCTAACTAGCGTCAAATCGACGAACTAACTCGCCTGTTATTACATTCATACTGACTATTTTGTACTGTTTTATACAAATATTTTTACAAATGTTGATCTTAATAAACAATTGTTCATTAAAGCGAATAATTTCGAAGGTTATAACTAATTTTATCATCATAGTTAGTTTAATAAAGCGAAAGTAGGGCATTAGTTTATCGCCGGTTCTTTAGTATCTCGAGCGAAATTCTAGATGTAATTGAATACATTTTCTCGAGTAGGATAGGAGGAACATCATCTTGTATTAAATATATATACATACATATATATATTTAGAAGTATACAGACTAGTGCAGGTATGTATTTATATCTACTAGTCTACAGAAACTGAGTTGACTGGAGATGCGTGTATGCGTCACTACTATTGAGCAGAATCCATGGATCTTGAAATCCAATTGACATTCCTCTATATATTTGATCAGCGAGCTACTTCACCATGCAGATGTATTCTATTCAGCTCTCGCTTCAACAGTAATACTCCAACATACCCTTGAATCATATAATGTAATATTTTTTTGAATTATTTGCCAAGAAACACCGCTTCAAATGTTTTTATATATAATTCTGGTGCGACAATAATTTTTAGATCAAAAGCTATTCTGGAGTAACTTACTTTTTTTGCAGAAAAGTCATTAGAAAAGTTTTTTAGAGTAGCCTATGATAAATTTTATGAATTTAATAATATTTTAGGATACAAAAATATATTGAAATTAAATATCGAGTCTATAAAAAATATAGTAGCATAATATCTCAAATTCTTATCATATGTAGGGTAAAAGACCCTATTAGTGGTGGGGATCTCATTACTGACACTTTCTTTGACTTCGGTACTTATTCAATTAATTAAATTATTAATTTATATTATGAATATATTATTTCTAATCTTTAAGATCTTAAGATAAAAAAAATTTTTATTTCAAGTAGAACATTTTTTCATTGAAAGAAAAAAGTGTCACTAATGGGGTCTTTTACCCTATTTGAAAAAATTTTTTTAATCATTTTCAAGGCGGAATTCCGCCTTGAAAATAAGACTACAAATTTATTTATTTTTTTAAATATTCGCCATTTTGCAAAAAAAAACTTTTCTACCTTGTAAAGTTTTGGAAATTTAATCATTTCCAATATAAGATTCCAACTGGGCCGCACAGATGAACTCTCCTACCATAATTTTTACTTATAATTTTATTGTTAACTTAGAAATAGGATGGAACAGCTGATTAGCGCTCGCCCTTATAGGAATATTAGAGAATAAGTACGAACGCTAACAAGCGCTCGCTCCTATCTGAAATAATTAGTCAGACGTGACATAACATTAAATTTAATTCAGTGACCTCTTATCGTATGAGATTTCCGTTGCCTCATTGGCGAACCATCAACGAAGCAACGAATCTCTCTCGGAATTTAATTGCAAGAAAATCTTAAATAGAAATTTAATAAATTATACAATTCAATTTCAAATTTTTCCGGAACGTCACAACCTTATCTGAGTCGGGAGGTGTAATGACATCCTTACTGATAAAAAAATTTTTATTCTTTCTATTCACAATGACTAAAAGATTTTTTTCGAACCTCTTACTTTGCTTTTATGTAATTTTTTTTTATTTTTAATTTTTTTGTATAATCATAAAATATGACCAAATAAGTAGTCAAAAATAAACAAAACATATCCATTGGTATTTTCTTGTCAAGCTGCCCAAAAATTACCCACAATGCGAAATTAGACATTGAAAATTTTTTTCAATATAATTTTTTGTCGAATATAGAAGTGCGTATTGATGAAAAAACGAAAGATCTTAATCAATGATAGTTACAATAATCGTAATTATAATAATGATGTAACACATTATAGAGGAGTAATCTCAGGAGTGCCATCTGTAGTGACAAGTTGGGTGTACACATGGCATCATCAGCAAGGACAAAGAGGGACAGAGTGATGCTCTGTTCGTGTATGTCGCATGTTCTATGTCGTGTGTCGTGTGTTGTACCTTTCACCGTACGTTGAGAACTAGCTATCGTGCATAATATCCTTGGTAGGTTATCTTACACGTGCCAAAACCTCAAGATTGATATATATATATATATATATATATATATATATATATATATATATATATACATACAAATACACATACATATACATATACGACATGTATTTACAACATTCACACATCGGTGCTACTTAACCGTGCATTATCTTGATGAGATGTATCCCGAGGTTATATGTGTACCTGTACACCCAACTACGGCTGAAACTAATGCACCAAGCAATTTCAAATGGCAACTACTTCCTTATCTCCAGACACTTGGTTTCAATCTCAAGTCTACTACTTGCTTATCTTCACTGTTAATTGATCTTATGACTATTGTACTATTCATTCTTTTGATAAACTTTACTCATTCATTTTCATTTATCATTTAATTACGGTTGCAATCTTTCAATAGAAGGCTTAAGCTTCAATTGAACAATTTAATGTTTGAAAAAAAAATTTACTCCTTAAAATTTTCTTTTATTGTTAATTAAAAATAAAAAAAATGCAAATTTTTTTTTTAATTACTCTCTTATCAACATTCGACGATCAACAAACCCGACTTCTTACTTACCGACCTTCTTTTCGACTTCTACGTTACGCTAATCAACATGGCGGCCTCGAGTCAGCTGATTTTTATCAACTGCAATTTTAATTCATTAATAACTTTAAAACTCTCTTTTAAATTCTAATCGAATATTTTTTGTTACCTTCCAAAAAAGTGAACAAACAAATTTCTGTCTATTTTTATTGGAATAAACAGATAATAATTGTCCATTAAACAAAACATTGTTTTGACACTAAAATGTATTCTCATCAGCAATAGCGAAAATAGCAACACACGCGTGGAATGAAAACACTCAACGCAGATATTTATATGAAATATATAAAAACATCTGGAAATATTACTATAGGACGAGAGAAAAGAGCATTTGAATTTATGAAAATTGTATCTGTCATTTGCACACACCTGCCATTGGTTTTGAAAGTACACTTATTTTATTTTACCTTCACGCTCTATGATTCCACTCTCTATCCTTTTTTCTCTATTCGTTGTAAATTTACTCGCTGTCATCATCCTCATAATTTTATTTATTTATTTTTTTCTCTTCACTGTTATTATTTTTTTAATTATAAATATTATTCTATAAGCAGTAAATAATCTCTATGAATGACTTCAAGGATTACGAAGATAAATATTATGATCATAAACCATCGCATTGTCATTCAAATAATCTCTACTCTTTTTTTATTTAATTAATAATTAATTTTAATTTTTATTATTTATTTCAAGCGAATTTTTCCGTTCTGGTGGATTTAAAATGCAGAAAAACTATAAAACGGGTCGTATCACTACCGTAAGCAATATACGGGCATAACGACCAGGCAAATGTCTAGCTTCTTTTCTAGACACTTTAGTTGAGCAGAGATTTTAGTTTAAACTCTAAAACCTTGTAAGGTTTTCAATATTTACCGTCAAAATCACCATAAATAAGCCATTAAGTTACATTTTCATGCCTCCAAGTTTTGTTATAAACATAATAAACAGCATTGAAAATTTTATTCAAATTTTGGGTGAAATAGACTTGAAATAAAAGAGCATTTGAATGGAAATGATAATTAGAATTAATCGAAATAATGAGGCAATGAAATAAAAATTAAGAAAATAAGATCTCGCATATGAGAAGAGGTAGAACCGTCAATTCAAGCGAGCGAATATAATGGGTATAATAATAATTTGGTATGATGACAATGTCTTGGTTGGATTGGTCGTTAAATTATCCTCGTTATATTCATAAGTCGACGGACCGTCATTCTGGTGAAATTATTATTAAAGCGATGAGAAATCGTCCACTAATGCTTATACAACTTACTACTACTACTATTGCTTGAACCTCAATCTTCCTCCTTGTCTTCTACTTCGTCTTTATCCTCAATTTAATATTACGCCGTTCCACCAGTGAATTCTAAGAAAACTTATTTCTTATTGAAGACGATATAAAATAAATTTCTAGTACAACTTTAAAGTAGATTGTAAAAATAACCCGTAAGCCAGATGAAATTTATATCTGAGAACAAACAATAGTATTATTGTAGTAAGTTTATTGTTTATTTAAATGAATTGTTGTTTAGAAAAGTTAAAAAAATGGGTTAATATCAAACCCAACTAAAAGACAATAATTATTAAGAATTAATTTTATTTTTAAAAAATTATGGAGAGCTCCCTTAATAATTATTTATGTCATAATAAGTCTTAAAATGTCCGTATATGGTCTGATATATTTATTTATGCCCATAAATAATTTTTTTAAAAAATTAGTTCCGAAAATTTCCGACAGGTAGCGCATGGTCGCTAAATCTTCTCGCTGCCAGAGAGTTAATTTTCAGAAATTAAGTAATAAAATAAAAATTTTCATTTCGACTCTTTTAATGATCTTAATTAAGACATTAGGATAAATTTATCAATTTATTTTATTGCAGTCAGTAATAATAATTTAAAGAAATTCTGTAACATAGAAAGATAAATATCTAAAAGCCAAGCTCATAAAAACGTGTTAAAAAATCTTTTTCATCTATATAATGTCCTAAATAAATATTGAAAAGTCGTAACACTAATTCGTAAAATAAAATAAAATAAACCGGGGTAGTATCAGTGTATAAATTAATCAGGAATCACAGGTTGTAATTGGATAAGCACACGGTAATTACGCGGGCATTTAATGAAAAACTAAAAAAGAGGATTTAATAAAATATAACCGAGGTCAAAGGGAAACGCCCTCGGAGTGCAGTTCCGAATTGCATTAGGTGGATCTCCATGACATACAACGCGTGTGTATGTGTATGTGTCGTCAATGTGTCTATATGTACATAAACCTCGCAGAGAGACGTCTAGTCTCTACATACATCTGCTTGGTAGTTGTCTCTGTCTTTATCTCGTTTCTCGTTAATTCATGCAAATGTT